ATTTTAAAATTTCATATTTTCTTTCCTCCTATTCTGTCAAATACGTTTGCTTTATACATTTTTTATTCTTCCACTTACCCCACAAGCTCCATATATTATTACGTTTACCAAATTTTTCCTAAAACTCCCCACATGTAGAAATGGAGAAGGTATTTTAAATCGAAGGGAGTATACGTATAAGGTTTTCAATAATAATAGCTACGCATTACTTTAATTAAAATTAGTACAAAATAACATAGAAAGTGTTTCTAGTTCGAACAAACGATAAAATCAAATCCGATACATTATAAATCCATATTATTATTTCAGAATTAAGGTATTTGAAAATAAGTCAAATCTCTTTTTTCTATATAGAAAAAAGCTATGATAAATTTAATCTGTAATTTAGTTTTTTTAGGATCCCCATTTTAATTCTTTCTTATAAAAAAAATTCGTTTATTAAGTGGGATATTGTAAATAATAAAATTAACAAATATCTCAATTCTATTACCTTATACTATCGAGTAATTTTAATACTTATAGGTTTCTTTAAAAAGTTTGTATAATAATAATAATAAATAAATAAATAAATAAAGCTCTCATTAGGGCGTTTAGGGTTGGGCGTAGGGTTGGTTTTCGACAGTTTTTCTGGTGGCTTCAAGTCCTTAAAGGTCAGGCGGCGGTGCTCGGTGTCGGCGCCTTCAGGTCAGGCTTTTCTCCGGCAGTTTCCACGGTTCGTTTGGTGCAGTTTTTGGCGAAATTCAGGCTGTTTCGGGCTTCATTGGTGAGGGTTTTTTAAACTGCAATTTTCAGGTGGCTTCCCGTCATTATTCCGGTAGCATCTCCGGCACAGGGTCGCGTCATTTAACTGTCGTATTTCCGTCGAAGTTTGGCCAGTTTCAGGGCAATTTGAGGGCAATTTCTGGACGAAATTTAGGCTCGTTCCTCGTTCAGTTTCAGGCTGGTTCCGCGATCAATAACCAGGGGTTTATAGGTCCGGCGAGGGCTTCCCTTTTCCGGCGGTATAAGCTGCAATTAGGGCCGTTTTTCAGGCAGCATTAAGGTGGTTCGCGACGTATGTTTTCTGGGCTTTTTGGCTTTGTTTATGGTCTGATTTTTGGTTGATCAGTTGCAGTGATTTTTGGGCAACTTCTGATGGCTGTTTTCAGGTGGTTTTGGGGTAGTTTCAGGGCTGTTTCAGTTGCGTTCTTGTATGTTCTTCTTGGCTGCAGTTGCTAGGCGGTTTCTAGTGCTTCTAGGGTGTAGTTTTGGGAACGTTTTTGGTGCAGTTTGCGTTGTGTTGTATTGTGGTTCTCTTGTGGCAAGTTGTGGTGGATGTTATGCCTTGTAGTGTTCTCTTTCATTGCCCGTTTGTGGGTCTTAATGGGTGTCAAGATGGCAGGGGTAATGGGCTCACTAAAACTTCTTTGATCGCTCATCTCCGTGACCGCCATTGTTGTGCGGATGCGCGGGATATGACCCAAAGCTCTCTTGCTTCTGATTTGGTTGTTTTCTTAGAGGCGGAGTCAACTTTTTGGCGTATGGGCATTTGGCTTTGTGGGGAGTGTTTCAAGACTCATACTTTTCGTACGAAGTGTCGACATGGTCGTGGTTCGGATGATATTGTGGACCCTCCTGATTCGGGGGATGGTGTTGTTCGGTTTGTTCTTTATGGTTTTCCTAAACCACAGGGTCTTTCTTCAGAGGTATCTGATCTTGTTTCTAGTGCGCCTCGTCAGCCTCTTTTGGCGTTCGATGTTGCTTTCCTGGATAGTTTGCTATCTAAGCGGTTCCGTTCGGTGAAATCTATTCCTCCTAAGTGTCGCTTGGGTTTTTCTCGGGTTCTCAAAGGAGCGCTTGATAAGGTGATTTGCAAGCCTGATGGCGTCTCTTGTTGGGTTCAACTTCTTGTGTTGCCTCTTTGTGTTCTTAAAACCTTTACCCCGAGGAGTAGTCATGAGTTTTCTTCGGGAGTCAGGCGGCAGCGGCATGAAGAGAGTATCACCGCTGCTATTCGTTCTTGGTGTGAGCCTGGTGGTTCGTTGCATCTTGTGCGGGATACGTTGGTAGATGTGTCTCCTCCTTTGTTGGAAGCTGATGATGAGCATGATTTGTCTGAGCGAAATATTAAGCAATGTAAGAGAAAGATTTGTGACGGACATTACACTGCTGCGGTTAGGGTTCTTTCGTCTTCTGGTCTTGCTCCTTACAATGATGCTACTCTTGCTGATTTACAAGCTAAGCACCCTTCCTTTCCGGCTCCTATCTTACCGGATATCCCCGTTGAACAACCCCTTATTGCTACATCTACTGTTGTTTTGAATCAGATTAAGGGTTTTCCACATGCTACGTCATGTGGTAGAGACGACTTGCGTGCTCAGCACCTTCTGGATTGCTTGAGTGGTGCTGCAGTTGCTATTTCTAATGAGTTGGTGGGCTCTATTACGCAGGTGGTTAATCTCTTTCTCGTAGGGAAATGTCCTGCTGAGTTGGGGGAGTATATTGCTAGTGCTCCTCTCACGCCTCTTGTTAAGCCCGGTGGTGGTATTCGGCCTATTGCTGTGGGTACTGTTTGGCGGCGCCTAGTTTAAAAGGTTGGGGCAGCTTTAGTTGGTCCGCATTTGGGAAACTATTTAGGAGGTTTTCAGTTTGGTGTTGGGGTCCCAACAGGTGGTGAGGCTATTCTTCATGCTGTTAATCGTTTGGCTGAGGCTCGTGGTGGTTATGTTGGCCTTTCTACGTTGCTGGTGGATTTCCAGAATGCCTTTAATTTGGTTGATCGTACGGCTTTATTGCGTGAGGTTCGTCTCCGTTGTCCTGCTCTCTCGCGTTGGGTTGAATTCTGTTACTCTTCTCCAGCCAAGCTGTTTTATGGGGAGCATACCTTACTGTCATGTCAAGGTGTGCAGCAGGGTGATCCTCTTGGCCTTTGCTTTTTGCTTTGGTGCTCCATCCGTTGGTTTGTCGAATTAGGGATTCTTTCGACTTATGTTTGTAGGCATGGTATTTGGATGATGGTACTATTAACGGTGACACCTTGGTGGTAGGGAAGGTTATGGAGTTGATTTTGGTGGAGGGACCTCGTCTCGGCCTCTATGGTAACGTTGAGAAAACGGAAATTTTCTGGCCCACGAAGGACCCACGTAGCCGTCTGGCCGGTGTCTTTCCTCCAGATATTGCTCGTCCTGTTCATGGTGTTAAGTTGCTTGGTGGTCCTATCAGTGCGGATGCCTCTTTTTGTGGTGAGCTTGTTTTGTAGAGAGTGTCGAAGACCATTGTGCTAATAGATGATGTTGCTAAGCTTGAGGATCCCTAATGTGAGTTGTTACTACTTCGTGCGTGTACTGGGCTTTCAAAACTCTACTTTTCAATGCGCACTTGTCCTCCTCGTCTTTTTGAAGCAGCCCAGATTTCTTTTGACGTGGCCCTTCGAGGTTCTTTGGAGCGCATTGTAACTGCTTCGGGGCCAGGTTTTGGTGATTGGCAATGGCGACTTGCCACCTTACCTTTTTCTTACGGAGGATTGGGTGTCTATTCAGCGAGTGATGTTCGACACTATGCTTTCCTTGCGTCCCGTTTGCAGTCTTCTGGTCTTCAGGCTTTGCTTCTTCGCAATTCTGGTATTGTTGGTCCAGGACTGGCCTTCGATGGCACTCTTAGTCTTTTTAATAGGACTGTGGAGACTGACCTTTTGCGTAACCCTAGTGAGATCGCTGCCCCCAAACTCATGAAGAAATTGGCAGATATATATTTCACGAAGGTCACTGCATCTGTGGAATCCACTTTCTCCTTATCTCTGCGTCAAGTTGCTTTATGGAAGTCCCAGGAGGGGGATCATAATTCAGCCTGGATTGCGAGCGGTCCCAATATCAGGTTTGGGTCAGACTATGAATGGTACGACTTACCGTTGTGTTCTTTGCTACCGGTTAGGTGTTCCCTTGTTCCCCGTTTCGACACCTTGCTCTACTTGCTCAAGGGTTTTTGATGGGGATATTTTTGGGGATCATGCAGTGTCTTGTGCTGGGATGGTGGATATTAAACATCGGCACAACGTTGTTCGTGATAACCTTGTAGATATTTGTTTCCGCTCTGGGATTCATGCGAGAAAGGAGGTTAACGTTGGGTTGATTGAAGGAAAGGATGGGGCTCTGCGACCAGCAGATGTGTGGCTTTATTCTTGGGATAGAGGCCTAGATTGTATGTGTTGACTTGACGGGGTCTTCTCCTTTGACACAATCTGGGTTGACTTTGTTACAGGTCGTGTTATGTCGGTTGCGGCTCAGCGGAAGCGAGACAAGTATGGGGCGCGTTGCAAGGCTATTGGCTATGGTTTCCTTCCTTTCTCCTTTTCTTCATTGGGGGAATTAGAGAAGGATGTTGTTGCGTTGCTGAAGCGGGTTCAGGTGTTCGCTAGGACTCAGGATATTGGTGCTCGTGCGACTGCTCACATCTTCAACAAGATCGGGTTCGCTATAGCTAGAGGGGTGGGGGCCCAGATTGTATCTCGACTCCCCACTAATTTCTTGTAAATCAATTGATTTTGCAGGTTTTATAATAATAGTAATAATAATAGTAATAATAATAATAGTAATAGTAATAGTAATAGTAATAGTAATAGTAATAGTAATAGTAATAGTAATAGTAATAGTAATAGTAATAGTAATAGTAATAGTAATCATAACAATAATAATTAAACATTAATATTGATTAACATTAAAAGTTGAATATTGAAATAATTAAAATAAGTTCAAATCAGAAAAAATAAGTTCAAATCAGATCAGATCAGAAAAAATAAGTTCAGATAAGAAAAAATAAGTTCAGATCAGATAAGATCAGAAAATATAAGTTCAGATCAGATCACATCAGATCAGAAAAAATGAGTTTAGATCAGATCAGATCAGAAAATATAAGTTCAGATCAGATCAAATCAGAAAATATAAGTTCAGATCAGATCAGAGCAACTTAAATCAGGTGAATTAAACAAGGTCTTAGCCGAGAGCATGACTTGTTTTGAATTTTTGCTAAGCCTGACACCGTGAGTTAAGGGATACTGCGTATTGATCAAATACAATGAAGTATTAGCTTGTAGCTAAGCATGAATAGCCACTTGGACTATATTTGGGCCTAAGGGAACATTAAGCCCATTTACCTTGAATTCACGTGGGCAACATTTTCCTTTGGTCTTCATATGTAATCCTTTACTTGCCTTATGCCAAGCTGCTCCTCTTTTCCTTTTACTACCTCCGTTTTTTTATGTGCAAATTTGGGGCAAGTTGCGGTTCACGAGGCAAAATATTGAAGGGCAAGATTAAGATAGTATAATGGTGATTAATATATTATAGGAGTATGTAATTAAGGTGGAGAGAGAATGTTTGGTTAATTAATCAAACCACCCACTGCCACCACCATACCTAGCCACCACCACCGCCGACTTCTCCACCACCACTACCACCCCCACGAAACCACCACCACCCTCACGTCTTTCCCTCCTTTTTCCGGCAGCCCCCTCCCTAACCAAAAAACCCAAAAATCTAACATACCCCTCCACCATCACCCCTAACCACCTCCAACCCAGACCACCCCACCCCTCAAACCTACCTCTATTAGAGGAAAGACCTTCTGCTGGAACATGACACACCTTCTTCATCAGATTATTCCTGTATTACAAAAATCAAAACAAAACCCATTAAAATTGACACCAATCTACAAATTCATATGAAAAATTAATCCAAACAAAACCAACCTTTTCTTAGTTCTCGGAGTTTGCGAAGCATTATTTCCAGCAATAGAAGGAGAAGAAGTTCCAAAAATGACATGAGAAAGCTTAATTAATCCTCGAAGCTGCGTTTGTTGTTGATGTTGTTGTTGTTCAATAATTCCAAAAGATCTTCTAGTGATGACTGAAGAAGGCGAAGATACCGGAGACGCCAAATAAGCCGAGGAGGTTGTTGTTTTCTTAGGCGGTTGTTGTTGTTGTTGCTGTTGAGGTAGTTTAGGAGGAAGGGTAAATTGCGAAGACGACGACGACGGAGGAGGCAGCGGAATAGATGGAGAAGGTTCTAGATCTGCCGTGGTGGTGGTGGAGCAGCAGCTTCTGACAACGGCGAGTAGATCCCAATCTAGAGGGGTGTCCATGGATGTTATGAGGAGAGAGAAAAATAGGGGAGGTGAAAGAGATGAAGCGTGAGGGTGAAAGAGATGAAGAGGATGAGCGTGAAGGTGAAAGAGATGAAGAGCAAAGATGAAGAGGGTGAATGGGTGGTGGTTGGTGGGTAGAGAGATGAGTAAATGGGTGGGTAAAATTAGGTTAATTATTTTAGATTAGACAAAAAAGTTATTGTGTTTAAATAAAAAAGGGTAACATTAAGAAAATCTGAATTTTTAAGTAAGGGCAAATTTGTAATTTTTAGGGTTTTTGTTTACCCAAAGTAGAATGAAAAAAGAAAGTTGCACATAATAGTGAACGGACTAAAATGACAAAAGTTGCACATAAAAAAAATGGAGGTAGTATTAAACAATAGCTTTAGATTTTTGTCCTTATGAGGTTGTCACATCATCTTGCCGAAGAACATCCCATAGCCGACAATGCTCACCTCCACTTTTTCCTTGTTTTTTATTTTTAATTGAGAATACCGAAGCCAAAAGGGAGTGCTGGTAGTATTGGATTGTCAAGTTGGCCGAAAATTCACTTTGAGAATGCCGAGAGCATAGTTGAGTGTTTATCCTTCGGCAGAGCAGGCTGCTATGCTGAGAAACACGTAAATGCTGAGAGCTAGGCAGTGCTGCGCGGTGAGGGATGCCGAGCGCTCGGTATGCTTGGCCATCCCAGCAGGCGCCCAGCCGGGCAGGCCGATCTTTGCGAGGGGATGCCGAGAAGAATTTAATAGTGCTGAGTTCTTTCCCCTTTCTTCACCGGCTGAGAGCTCAGGGTAGATAATAATGCCGAGGGACTGGGGTATCGATCAAAGCGCTAGGCATGCTTTTATCTTTTTCTTCTTTCTCCCTTGAAGGTTGGCAAGAGAGATGGTGAATTAGGAAGGAAAGCTGAGGGATATTTGAGAGCTCATTGCGAGGATGGGCGGAGAATTTTGAGGGTGAGGCCGAGAGCTTGGGTTATCTAAGCGCATTGGCAGGCCTAACTCTCGGACCTCGTAACTCTCCAAATTTTATTTATTTTTTTTTATCATTTTTTTTCTAATGGTTGAAATGCCGAGGGATGGGCATGATTGTGAGGGCTAGACATGACTGAGGGTGTTTCGGGGTTTTCTGATGTCCCGCGGGAGAATTACAATTCCGGGACTGGATCCTTGCGCTTGTACCTGCAATATAACGGAGACTCCGGGTGGTGGGAGTTCCGCCTCCGACGATCAAGTTAGTACTTGTTTAAGGAGTAAAAGGTGCGGAAAGTAAAGGTGATCTGGTTCCTCTAAGGGGAGGAGTGATCGAGGTGTGCAATGAATGCTAAATCTGGTCTAGCAAGTAGTATGCACGAGGGTTTAGGCTTCTCTTCGTGAGATGACTCATTAATTCTGAATTAAAAAATCGTGTTTAATGAAGGCTAATTACTGTATTTATAGCCTTGAAATACGTGCCCAATACTAGGTTTAATGGAAATCTACGATTGATTGGGCTTGCCTCGGGATTCGGGCCTTGTTGGTCGTTTTCCAGGTTAGCAACCTTATGTGCCACGTGGCGTGGCCTGCTTGGTCCATGTTGGACCTCTTGGAATATGACACGTGGCAGCCCCTGATCGGTCAACGTGGCTGACACGTGGCAGGTGCTGATTGGACCATGTGGCGGGAAAAAAATCCCCTAAACATTTTCCCCTTACAGGGGTCACGTGATGCCTGTGACAGGTATCGACTCGTAACCAGGCGACGGCCTATGACAGGTGTCGGCCTATGGTAGGGCGTTTGAATTTTCCCACCTATTTTTGAATTTAGGGTGTGACCCTTTAAATTCTTGGATAACCCTATATAAGGGCATTTTTACCAAGGTCTAGTTCACATTTGTGAACTTTGCAAGAGAACTCAGAACCTCCGAACTTAAGCTCTGAAATTTTTTGGACAACTGTTATTCATCCGACTGTTTGCGCTAGCCGATTGTTTGTGGAGACCGGCTACTTTAGACTTCCATCTCCTTTCTTAAAGAACTTCCAATCTTTAGGTAACTGTCTGCTCTTGCACTTTTCATTTCTTTGCATTCTTTTGAAGATATGGTATCCCAAAAGTACCCGACACGACCTAGGTTAGTGATTAGTCAGTCACCGGGGAATGCTAAATCTAGGACTAGGAGTGCCGCCTGCTCCTTTTTGGACCAATCTCTGCCCTATGCTCCAAGTCCGATTGTCTCTTTGTCTGTGTAGGAAACTATGGTCAGAACAAAGAGGACGACCAGATATACAAATTCAGATGAGCGAGCTCTCGAACCGGTCGCCTGGTAACCCAAGCACTCCAAGTGACTCAATTTCAGAAGAATCTGAGATTCAGGCAACCAGTCCTATGGTTGTAGATATATCCGGACAAGTGTCGGCCTTATCGAGAAAGAGGATTCGGCCTCCTATAAGAGCTCGAGTGACTTTGAGTCCAACTTATCCAGCCGGCATTCCCCGGATTCAGAAGAGAGGCATTCTCGTCTTCATGAGGCGAGAACATCTCACACTGTTGAAAAGGGGGATGACTGGGATCAGCCGTCTACTTCTCATAGGGAATTGAACACTCCCTACTATTGTCATGTTCTAAAAGGCCGAATTAAGGCCATGCCCGAGAGGTTAGGGACCTTTCAAGCGGACCAAGTAATGGGTCCTGATTATTCTCTATCATTGCCGGATGTTGAGGATACAGTAGTCTGGCCTGAGGGGGCCAGCTATGGGGACGCCTGCTTTGGATGCTATGAGGGGCCCTATTAAGGCTGGGTTAAGATTCCCTTTGCATCCGCCTGTTCAACAAATCTTGGATGGGTACCAGGTGGGGCTCTGGCAATTGGCCCCAAACTCATGGTTCAACATTCTGGGCTTTGTAGCCGGCTGTGAAATGTATGGGGTTGAACCAAATTTTGCAGCCTTCGCCCAAATGAACTATCTGAGTCGGACCTCAAAAGCAAGCGGTACTGGCTGGTACCAGATTTCCAGCCATAAGGGCTACTTGATGACAAAGGGGAAGGAGAACAAGTGTAAGGATTGGAGGAACACCTTCTTCATTGTTTCCAGCCCAAACAAACTTCTCAACAAGAGGTACAATAGATGGAACAGGGATCCACCTCTCCTCGCAGGCGGCTCTAGCCTGCCGCCTGTTCCTCGTCAAGCCAGGGAGGAGATCCTTGATCAAGGACTCTTCAAAGTAGAAATCAGGACCAACCCTGATACTGGGGACCGAGAGCTTATCCCCCTTAAATGCATACCCAAATTCAATTAGTTGTATGATGAGTATTTCTTGGCCGCCTATGGCCTTAGTGACCGAACCACTAGGGTAGTCGGCCCTTTTTATGTTCTTGTAGTTTTTGTTTTGCTTGAATTTTTACTAACTCTGAGATGCGTTGTTTGTAGGTGAAGCCATGGACAGAATCACTGCTTCAAAAAAGGCGGTCGCCCTCCTACGCACGGCTATCATTAGCTAGAAGCAGTCCTCTACCGATTCTCCCTCAAAGGAGAAGTCCAAGGTGAGCTTCCAACACTTGTAAAAATTCTGTGTTTTCCCCCTTTTTACCATACTTAATAACTTTGACTTCTTGTCATAGGATGGGGTACCCAGATCGTCTCCCTCCCAGCACCCGAACCCCAAGGTTCGGAAACATACGGCTAGAAGTACGCTTGGTTCTACCAGGAAGCAGCCGGTTGAAAAGCAGGCGCAGAACCCTCAAGGTGGGTAAAAAAAAAACAACCGTCCCTAGGGACACTCGGCCTCCAAGAGGTATAATTGATTTTAGATTTCTTTGAAAATCTTTCTTAGATCAAGCGGCCTGTTGCTTTCCCCTTGTCTAATTTTCCATGCTTCCTATTGCAGGCGGCCATCAGGATCCGGACTTGGTCCAGATGGCCAAATCTATTGTCAAGGCTATTCCCTCAGATGACAGGGAATTAGTTAGGGGAGTCGACACCCTTGACTTGGACTCTATCATGGGTCTACTCTTTGAGGTAGATTTGATAAATTTTCTTCGACATTGAGCAACATTGACATTTGTGTGCCGTCTGTTTCTTGGATAATTTTGACGCCTATTTTGCTCACTCGCAGGCCTTGCTTCATGTTCATGGTTTCCGCCGACCCACTAACGAAAAGAACAAGGAGGTAAAGGCTGCGAAGGCAATGGCCGCCTCTGATTGTGATCGGGCAATGTTTGAGATTGCCCAAAATGAGATTTTGACAACTGACATTCTGTATTTTTAGGCGACTGCCACCTTGCAGGTCAAAACCGAATTGGAGGCAGCCAAGAAGAAAAACTTAGAGCTGGAGAAGGCAGTCAAAGACCTTCAAAACCAGTTGCAGCCGCTGAAGCATGCAAAAAATCAAACCGCTAAGATGACCTCAAGCTTAAAAAATCGAACCAGAAGCTCAAGGAGTGCCTGTCAAACTAGGATGTGGCCCTGACCCAGCAACTCAGCGCTAAGGCTAAGTCTGAGAAGATGCCCCTGGCCTAGGATATGATGGAGGACTCTTCTGCCATTATGGAGGACTCTTCTGCGATCATGAAGATGACCTCTTTCCAGCCTCCATGGCCGGCTGTTTATGAATGAATTTTGGCGGCTGTTTAGTCGTCTTGTCCAACAATCAAAATTTTGTTAGTTTCCTTTGCCAAGTGTAGATAGTCTTTCATAACCACTTGTTTATCATGCTGACTGTTCTTGCTTGTTGTCTTCCTTTTTGCATCAAAATTGCATCAAAATTTGCCATTTGAATGTTTAAATGTTGCTAACTATAGAAGACATCTTAGTGGGTGTCGCAACCGATGTTTCGGGGTTTTTTGATGTTCTGCAGGAGAGTTACAATTCCGCGACTAGATTCGTGCGCCTGTACCTGCAAAATAACGGAAACCCCCAGGGATGGGGGCACCGCCTCCGACGATCAAGTTAGAACGTGTTTAAGGAGTAAATGGTGCGGAAAGTAAAGGGGATATGGTTCCTCTAAAGAGAGGAGTGGCCA